ATATCATCCGCAAACATGATGCCATCGCATTCAAGGTCTGCAGGACAGTCATTTATATAGATGAGGAAGAGGAGAGGACCCAAGACTGAGCCCTGCGGAACGCCGCGTTTTACTGGCACCCATTCGGATGTAGTGACACCAACGATGACTTTTTGGAGCCTGCATGACAGGAAACTCTTAATCCAATTAAAAATTCTGCCCTGTATCTCACACTCCCAAATCTTCTGTAGGAGTCGTCCACGAGGAACGCTATCAAACGCCTTCTTAAAGTCAAAGAAGATGACGTCCACTGGACGGCCCTAGTCTATGGCTCTTGTCCACTTTTCCTGAGAGTAAAGACTGCTTGTAAGACAGGAGTGACCACGACGAAATCCGTGCTGAGCAGCACATAACAGGTCCCTCTGCTACAGATACGACATTAAATGCCCTTTAATAAGTCGTTCCATTACCTTGCATAGAATGCAGGTTAAACAAATAGGACGGTAGCTTTCGGCTTCCAGTACGATTATGAGACTTCATTGCGCCAAATGAGATTTTCAATTTCACATTGCGTGTGTAGTAACCAAGGCCACTGTTGGCCACTTTACCCACTTGCTATCTTCGATGTTAATTGTAGAAGCGTTTTCTACTCTGCAGTACGTTATTTGGCGAAGAATTTGACGACCCAACTATAATAGCAATGAGATGAATTCCAATGAAGCTGGATGCTTCTACCATTTGGACTCGGATCGGCTCCGAGGTCGTCACTCGAATAAACTTAAACATCCAGCTCCATTGGAATTAATGTCATTGCTATTGTAGTTGGGTCGTAAAATTCTTCGCCAACTAACCTACTCTACAGTACAAAACGCTTCTACAATTAACATGGAAGAAAACAAGTGTGTAAAGTGGCCAACAGTAGCCTTGGTTACTACCCTGACAGCAAGAGCCCCCTCGTGCCCCCTCTCAGCCCCGCCTCGTGAGGGGGCTATGAGGGGGCCAGAGGGGGCTATGAAGGGGCTGGAGAGGGGGCTATGGCGGGGCAAATCCCCGATGTGGCCCCCTCTGTCCCCCTCAGCGGTGGGTTCACGTAATGGTCGTGGTGGTCGCTCACTTGCTTGCAGGTGAGACTGCGCCTAGCGTCCACTTGCTGGCACTCAACTCTCACCTCTGGCTCCACGTAGCTGGACTCTGCTCAGCGGCCACACCCCGGGCAACCGTCTCGACCGACGGGCTAAACCAGGTGATGGGGCCCTGTGCGCCGTGCCGTATGCACAGTGTTTGCGGTTTCCGCTGGATGGAAGGTCGGATGGAACCTTGCGTCGGCACCGTCGTGACGTGGTTCGTCTCTGCACGCCGCTGGACAGCCGGTGACGAGATGGATCTCCACATCGACATCGCCTTGACGCGCCCACCTACGCCGTCGGAGACCGCGGCTTACGGCGAATTCGAGTCGCTCTCCACTACAACCCAAATTCGTGGTCCCATAGTGGAGTTCGGCCGTGCCACAACGGCACATGGCAGCCCTATTCAGGGATGGCACTGCCAGTCCCCACGAAGTGAAGAGCCTAGAAAAGGTGGCCTAAACATTGCTGGGTACCACGCCGTCTCCAGGCTAGCCAAGGCCGCAGACGTCTTATCATGGTCGAAACAATCAAAATCGAAACAACAACAATACCAATAACAACAACAACCATACTCATTCTCCTCATCCTACCTCTTCTTCCTCTTCCTCTGCCTATTCTTCTCCTTCGTCACCTTCTTCTCCATCTCCTTCCCGTCGCCCCACTCGTTGTCACCAGACTGGCAGGGTGGGCCCGCTCACTCTGGCAACCTGGAATGTTCGTTCCCTTTTAGACAATGCGAGGAGCAACCGACCGGAACGGAGGACGGCGCTAGTGGCACGAGAACTGGCACGCTACAAGGTGGACATCGCCGCACTCAGCGAGACCCGATTCTCCGAACAAGGCCAACTGGAGGAGGTGGGTGCCGGCTACACCTTCTTCTGGAGTGGGCGGCCCAGAGCAGAGCGACGAGACGCGGGTGTGGCCTTCGCCATTCGGAACGACACCGTGGGACGACTGCCCTGTTTGCCGCAGTGCATCAACGATCGCCTGATGAGCCTCCGCCTGCCTCTCTGGGGAGGCAAAGTCGCCACCATCATCAGCGCCTACGCTCCGACGATGACCAACCCCGACGCCGTCAGAGACAAATTCTACGAGGACCTGCACGCCTTCTTGGCGACTGTGTCGAAGGCGGACAAGTTGATTGTCCTTGGCGACTTCAACGCCCGCGTCGGCACAGACCATACTGCCCGGAGAGGAGTGCTAGGTCCCCACGGTCTCCGCGGCTCCATCGACAATGGTCTGCTGCTCCTCCGCACCTGCGCAGAACACCGCCTCATCCTGACGAACACGTTCTTCTGTCTGCCGGAGCGAGAGAAGGCCACCTGGAGGCATCCTCGGTCGCGCCCGTGGCACCTGCTGGACTATGTCCTCGTCCGGAGGCGAGATCAGCGGGACGTGCTGGTGACGAAGGCGATCGCGGGTGCTGACGGGTGGACCGACCATCGCCTCGTCATCTCCAAGATGCGTTTTCGCCTACAGCCTCGCAGGAGACCACAAGGTAAGCGACCCCCAGGTAAGCTGCATGTTGCCTTGTTGTCTTTGCCCGCTCACCATCTTCATTTCAGCAATGAGCTAGCTCAAAGGCTAGACAACTTTCCTATCACTGCCGACGCCGCCGCTGCCGAGAACGCCTCCGTGGAGAACCGCTGGTGTCAACTGCGAGACACGGTCCAGTCGACGGCGCTCGCCGTCCTGGGTCGCGCTCCCCGCCAACACCAGGACTGGTTCGACGACAACGACGCCGCCATCAGAAATCTGCTAGCTGAGAAGAACCGCCTACACAAGGCCTACGTAGATCACCCCACTGATGCCACCAAAGCTGCCTTCTACCGCAGTCGCCGCCAACTTCAGCAACGACTGCGCGAAATGCAGGACGCCTGGACTGCTCGCAAAGCTGAGGAGATCCAAGGGTACGCGGACCGCAACGAATGGAAGAACTTCTTCTCTGCGATCAAAGCTGTCTACGGTCCGGCGAAGAAGGGCACTGCTCCTCTTCTCAGCGCCGACGGCAACACTCTCCTGACTGAGAAGACGCAAATACTGCAGCGATGGGCCGAGCATTTCCGAGGCGTCCTCAACCGCCCCTCCGTCGTCTCCGACGCCGCCATCGAGCGTTTGCCGCAAGTGGAGACCAACGTGGACCTCGACCTCCCGCCATCTCTTCAGGAGACCATCAGGGCCGTGCAGCAGCTCTCCAGCGGGAAAGCACCCGGATCGGATGTAATCCCTGCTGAGGTCTACAAGCACGGAGGTCCCCAACTGATGGATCACCCGACTGCGCTCTTCCAAGAGATGTGGCGTCAAGGCGAAGTCCCGCAAGATTTAAAAGACGCAACCATCGTGCATCTCTACAAGCGCAAAGGGAATCGCCAAGTCTGCGACAATCACCGCGGCATCTCCCTGCTGAACATCACCGGGAAGATCTTCGCACGAATCCTCCTCAACCGCCTCAATAACCAACTCGAACAGGGCCTTCTGCCGGAAAGCCAATGCGGATTCCGTCGTCATCGTGGGACCACGGATATGATCTTCGCCGCCCGCCAACTTCAGGAGAAGTGCCAGGAGATGCGGACCCACCTGTACTCTACCTTCGTGGACCTGACGAAAGCCTTCGACACGGTGAATCGTGAAGGACTGTGGAAGATCATGCAGAAATTCGGCTGTCCGGAGCGATTCACTCAGATGGTGCGTCAGCTGCACGACGGTATGATGGCGCGAGTCACGGACAACGGAGCTGTCTCAGAGGCATTCGCAGTGACCAATGGAGTGAAGCAGGGCTGCGTACTGGCGCCTACCCTCTTCAGTCTCATGTTCTCTGCCATGCTGATGGACGCCTACCGCGACGAACGCCCCGGGATCCGCATCGCCTACAGAACGGACGGTCACCTCCTGAATCAACGGCGGATGCACTTCCAATCGCGCGTATCCACAACCACCGTTCACGAACTCCTCTTCGCCGAGGACTGCGCCCTAAACACCACCTCGGAAGAGGAGGTGCAACGGAGCATGGACCTGTTCTCCGCCGCCTGCGAGAACTTCGGTCTGGTCATTAACACGCAGAAGACGGTGGTGATGCACCAACCGCCACCCAACTCAGCCACAGCCCACAACACGCCGCCGCAAATCAGTGTGAACGGAACCCAACTGCAGGTGGTGGAGAACTTCCCTTACCTGGGCAGTACTCTCTCCCGCAACACCAAGATCGACGACGAAGTCGCCAACAGGATCTCGAAAGCCAGTCAAGCCTTCGGTCGCCTCCAAAGCACAGTTTGGAATCGCCACGGTATTCAGCTGAGCACGAAGCTGAAGATGCACAAGGCCGTCATTCTGCCGACACTACTGTATTGAGCGGAGACTTGGACGGTGTACGCAAAGCAGGCACGTCGTCTGAACCACTTCCACCTCAGTTGTCTTCGTCGCATCCTGAGGCTAAAGTGGCAGGATCGAACCCCCGACACTGACGTGCTGGAACGGACGGGAATCCTCAGCATCGACGCCATACTGAGGCAAATTCAGCTGCGCTGGAGCGGCCACCTGGTGCGCATGGACGACGAGCGACTACCCAAACGACTCTTCTATGGAGACGTCGCGACGGGTTGTCGCCGCCACGGAGGCCAGATTCGCCGTTACAAGGATACCCTGAAGTCCTCCCCGAAATGCCTGCAAATCAACCCCACCAACCGGGAGGAGCTCGCACTCGATCGACCGACCTGGAGGAGGACAGTGAAAACAGGCGCTGCGATTTACGAAGCCAACCGCATCGCTGCCGCCAAAGCGAAACGTGAAGCCCGCAAATCACAACTTCGCCCAGTAAGCAACGCCGCCGCACAACCGCTTCCAACGTGTCCTCGATGTCAACGGACATTCCGGGCTCGAATCGGACTTGTTGGACATCTTCGGATTAACTGCGCCTCTCGAACGGCACCAGCCATCGTCCCCCCGCCTGCCTCTTCCTCCTCCTCTCCGCCCCCAACTAACCCTGACAATTCTTCTGACCCACCACTTCCATCATCCTCCTCCTCCTCCTCCTTCTCCTCCTCCTCCTTGCCCACTGCTCCAACGGCGGCTGCTCAGGCGACTGTCCCGCGCACAGCAACCGACACTACCACCACCCAGCCCCCCGACTCCAGGGATGAGGATCAGGACTACACCTGCCCTCACTGCGACCGTACCTTCCCCTCACACATCGGCCTGGTCGGTCACTTGCGAATCCATAGCACAGAGACTGGAGAACCAGTGAGTGAAGCACCAACCTACACCCACCGCACTCTCCTCCACTGCCCACACTGCCCTCGCACCTTCGGGCATCGCATGGGCCTTTTCGGCCACATGCGCATCCACGAGAGTGGCCTTGACCGCACTCCCGACACACCCACCACATCCAACACATCCACCGTGCACACCCCCACCCTCGTTCCATCCGTCCGCGCCGCCACCACCACCACCACCACCACCACCACCACCTCCTCTGTAGCTGACACTGACAACGCCGACTTCTCATGCCCACACTGTCCACGCACATTCACCTCACGCATCGGCCTGGCCGGTCACTTGCGAATCCATCGCATAGAGACTGCAGAACCAGTGCCTGGAGCACCCACCTATACCCACCAAGCTCGTCTTAACTGCCGACACTGTCTTCGCACTTTCAGGCATCGTATGGGCCTATTCGGCCACATGCGCATCCACGACGACCTGCGGTAGACAGCCGCCGGTCACACCACACATTCACTCACTCCCTACCTCCTCCTCCTCCACCACCACCATCACCCCACCAGAAATCAAACAACATCTGCGGGACCTTCGAATTTGAGTCGTATCCCCAGCTCTCCGAGCCTTCGTCGAATTTTTTTTGATAGTATAGGGCAGACTGAACGTCGCGTGGAAATAAATTGCGAACTGACAAAGTATCCTTTGTTTGGATTATAAGTAAACCAACTCGAAATTTCTATCATTATTGGAATTTTCGGATCTCGACGTTATTTCCCACGGTATCAGGAGGAAGATTCTACCCGAATTCTTCCAGGAACAGCACCACTGAGTAGTCTTCTCATTCGCACCGGTGAAGTATACCACAAATTCTCCATCAAAAGATATTTGCAATCGTCCGACCATCTGTACAAGTATACTTGACAACTTTTCTCCGAGATCTACGTCGAAAACTATAAACGGCTGAGTCGTTTCCTATTTAACTTCATAATTGGCAAATTCTTCATTCTAATAATTGTTGAAAACATCCTGCACTACTCCAGAACTGAGTGAGGAGTTTGAAAGTCATCAACAATGAGCCAATTTGTTATAAAAAACTCGTTCACAAAAGTCGCGCAACCGGGATTTGAACTCGGCACCTGCGAATCTGGAGGCCAGAGCGCTAGCCACTGCGCTATCGATGAACGGTTTGGCGCTAGTCGGATATGTTTATCAACTACAGAAGAGCAGCTGAAAACGGTCTTTAATTCATTAGCAGTCTCTTGCGATAAAATGCCGCTGGAATCATTAGACTCCAGGGAGATTACGCACAATAGCCTAGAAGAGATAAGACAGGAAATAAGAACCGATGCACTGCCAAGAGGCCTCGAAAACTGTATGACAGACGGGACGGATTCTGCGCTTGTCGGTCGCTGTGTCAGCTGTAAGGAACTTGAAAAGCGGGTCCAGACGCTAGAAGTGAAGCAAGGCCTACTGACAGACATCATCATGGTTATTCTTAAGCACAGTAAGATAGAATTACCAAATAGTCCGCCAAATTTTCGATCGATCGGCGACGAACATCCTACTAATAAAGGTACTAGCGCGGAAAAGTCAAAGCCAGTCAGGAAGAGGAAGCGAGTTATGTCTCCAGAGGAAACTCTAGACAAATCAGTTCCGGTGGATAACGTGGCAGTCGACACTAATGCATTAAAAATAAGTCAGGTTCCATTACCTGCTATAGTAACAAAACCTGCCAAATCATCGAACAATAAAGTTGGGAAAGCCAGGGTGACCCTCAGAAGATCTGTTAGAAACTACAAGGACTCGCCGTTATTCTTGGAAAGCAATGCTGTTACTCCAATTCTTCACAAGGCTAACTCATCTGGAAAGTGCCCTAACCAATCCGTTTATGGAAAAGGACACGATAAGCCTTCGTGCAGTACATTGCAACAGGGTAATGATTGTAAGAGCTCCACTGCCGGAGCAAGTACGTCACATGAAAATCCATGCCCTAAACTCCCTTCGCCGGCCGAAAATCATTCAAATGTCTAAGTGACAACAGCCGTCGGGAATACTACAGTAGCATTATATCGTCCTAGCGCGGACGAGACAGTAATGAGCTCTTCCATAAATCGTAAGCAAAATATTGTCATAAGGGGCGCCCCAGAGTCCACGTCCTGCATTCCAAGGGACCGAGTGACGCACGACCTAGACCTTCTTCATCAGTACGCCAGTGCCGTCCTGCAGGATGGGGAAATATTCACCGTTAAAAAAGCTTTCCGACTAGGCAGAGCGGACCCAAATCGTGACCTAAAAACATCCCCAAGACCCCTGAAAGTTATTTTGGAAAACGAAGCCCAAGCAGCGCTTTTATTAGAAAGTAGAACGACCTTACGCAATTCGCACAAGGAAGTGTTTTTTCAACCAGACTACGAACCGAGGGAAAGACTGAAAATGAGAGAACTGAGATCAGAATTGAAGGAGAGAATTGGCAGAGGAGAGAAAGGGCTGAAGATCAAAAATGGACAAATAGTCCAGACAAAGAGGTCTTTCCTGTGGTCAGAACCCGTCACAATGAAGGTCGGGCCTCTCCAACGAATCAGTCATTGAAGGTTATATCCGCAAATGTGCAAAGCCTCTTCAACAAACTAGACGAACTAAGAGACTTAGTTGATGAAATTAAGTCAGACATCATGGCATTCACAGAAACGTGGCTTACTGAAAATATCGCAGATTCAGAAATATCACTTAGAGGATATCAGCAATTCAGGAGAGATAGACTAAGCCGAGGAGGAGGAGTCATAATTTATGTCACTTGCAAGCTAAGCGTTATGGCTGATGTACATAGACCGGTACGGGATGTGGAACTGCTAAGCGTTACCATATCTACTAAGAATGTCCGAGCACTGGCGCTTTCGGTGGTGTACCGTCCACCTAACCATACTTCTGACCAAGATCTCATGCTCATATCCGAACTGTACCAAGCTAGCGAGAAGAAAGATGTCCTTATCGTTGGGGATTTTAACGCTCCTGGCATTGATTGGCTAACGTGGACTGCACAAGGGCCGCAAGACAGCTTTAATCACAAACTACTTCAATGGGCAACGGACAAACTTCTCTGCCAGAATGTTACCTTTGGAACACGGGTCAGGGAAGGTCAGCAGTCGAACTGCCTTGATCTTATTTTTACCCGAGAGGAGGAAACTGTTTTAGACCTGCAGGACCGACAGACATTAGGGTCAAGCGACCACATCACGCTCTACTTTGAGTACTCACTGTTTTCCAAACCCGTCCAACCCGAGAAGTGGGAGAGAAACATTTGGAAAGGGGACTATCCTCTCATGAGGAGGGAAGCGGCAGCTATATCATGGGAGACTGAACTGCATGGTCGAGCAAACGATAACTGGAATACTTTCAGTTCCTTACTGAAAGAGATTGTTTATTCCAATTGTCCTCTCAGAAGAAAGAAAATCACAAACCGCCCAAAATGGATAAACCCGGACTTGAAGGCCTCTTTCAGAAAAAGGAATCATCTGTGGAGGCGTTACAGACTAACTGGCTCCGACGAACACTTACAGGACTATAAGCGGCAACGAAACGTCTGTAAAAGTGAGGCCTCAAAGCTGCGAAAGAAGTTTGAACTGAACATACTTCAAAATTCGTTGGAGCATCCGAAAATTCTATATGGTTATATACGAAGTACTAAAGGGACTCAGGAGCTCATCTCTGCCCTCAGGTCTGCAGATGGAAAAGTGGAGATTGATGACCAGGTTAAAGCATCCCTCCTTTCCGACTTCTTTCAGTCCGTCTTCACCCGAGAACCTAGTGCTATATTTGCCCATCCCTCCATTCGCCAACCAACCTCTCCTCCCAGTTCCTTTCCCCATCCTATCCCCTCCCTACCCTCCTTAACCGAGGAACCACTCTTTTCATCTACCATAGTTAGGGCCGAGCTACTCCGGCTGAAACCTGCCAACTCGCCTGGCCCAGATAGAATTCCCCCCCTAGTACTTCGTGAACTTGCTAATGAACTGTGCAAACCCTTATCCGCAATATTTCAAGTCATTTGAAGACGGCGAGCTACCGGAAGAATGGAAGTGCGCACTCATTACTCCGATCCATAAAGGAGGCTCAAGACTTGACTGCGGAAATTATCG